AATGGTGTTTACTGGAGCAGAGAACTTCAAAATTCACATTTTGTTGTAAAACGATGATTTTTATAACAACCTAATGTCTTACATATAGCCGAATAAGGTTACATGTTGATCTTGCAAATAAACTGCAACACAATGTAATTCTATGAATCGTTTGTTTTGAAATTGTTTGATTGTTATTTTTTGAAATAATTTCGGATCCTTTATCTTATCAAGCAGATCAAAATGGCCAGATACTAGCGCAAACATACGGTGTACAAATGTACAAATTTTATCAATTGTATTTCTTCAAACGAGCGAGCGATTTAGCTAGTATCTTCTGCTGTGATACTGTTATGGTTGATATTGTTGTGATGAGTTTTCTCAAAAATCAATCGAAGACATTCTTTCGTCGCTAATAAAATCGTCTGCAATTAGAATCATTTGTTCGCAGGTAGAATTATTTGTTTGTTCTATTTGAAGGAAACCTGTTATTTAAGAGTTATATCCTAATTCGTGTCACATTACACAAAAACACATATCGACACACACACACATGCATACACAAACGAATCATACTCGTCAGTTAACGTCAATCAAATAATATGAATTGAAATTATCATTTTATTACTAACACTGCTTGATGATATTGCATCATGCTCTAAATTCATATAATCAAACACACTGAACATCTTTCTATTTATTTCGGATTGAGATGAAATGCTATAATGTTTTAGAAGCTTGACACTGTTTGAAATAATCTCACACTTGCTTAACAGTTATTCGTTTTCTGAAGTTTTACAGTACTTTCAGATGAAGTCTTACGAAACCCATCCAGTCTCGTAATCATACAGCCCTCGAAGATACCAGCATGTATGGGTGGTTAGGTCGGCCAAGAAAAGATTTAAAAACTTTCAATGCGGTAAATCTGGTCTCATTTCACATATTCTTGAGGGATCATGATTAGCGATGCTTCCACTTTACTGACAAGAATCACGATCACAAGAGTCCGGACCTTCTGTCATCAGTCCGAGCAACTAACATTAAGAAATTCCCTTAAATGGATGAGCTACTGTTCCATAAAGGACACTTCAGCACGGAGTGAGAAGAAACTGAGGAAGGAATGCATAAGATTTCAATGTACAGGGGAAATCTCGGCGTTTTGAGAGGGATTCCGATGTTGCGGAAGTAAATTTATGAGTAGAACGGAGATAAATGATGATCACTGATACGATTTAAAAAAAATTTGCAATTTTGCACATTCTGAAATGCATTCATAAACGTCTGTCTATTTTTCTTAATTTTCAAATATTTTTCCACTTGATTGAACAAATTGTTGTAAAGAACTTCTTCAGCGAATATTGTTGCACAGATATTATCGTTGTCACTACACCGAACACTTGACAAATACCTTCGTCTTGCTCATGACCCTTCTAATTGATGGCCCCCTCTTCAAATCACAATAACACAAACAACTAGTTTACGAACAAAACGTTTATTCACAAAATTCCTTCAAATGTTGTTGAGAGAATTACGTGATTCATGATAAAACTTCGAATATTTTGAGGTGCTTATTGCGCTATTGACTCTATGACTTGTCATTTCTTTAACATCACAAAAAGATTGATTCTGATACTTTTTGACAGTAAAATTTCGAGATTTCACTGAATAGCTGAATGACAATTGGAAAAACACTTTTCCAAATGGAATGTTTCTCTTCATGGAGTCTTCTTCAATACAATGACTGATGTGATTGAATGTTTCTTGGTAAATTCTCTTCACCAATCAATTAGGGATGAGAACAAACGATTACTTAAAGGAATGTGTCCAAACATCGGCAAAGCTACATATTGCATACATCAACTATCTTTTGAAAGATACAGTTGTAAACACAACGAGGGTTACTCATTTGGATAATTTTGCTGTTGACGGTCGCCACCGCGCCATCACAGATGCTGCTGGTGTGCTCATAAACTTCACACAAAAGCCGAAATCTATGCGTTAGTCTCATCACTGGGCTAAGCGTAAGTCTAAGCTCAAGCATACTCCTGATTTGACTTCAAATTGCATAGGTGCGTACACATGAGGCTAAGCGGTAATCTAAGCAGACGTCTGAGGTGGCACCCGTTAACAGCAATAGTGCCCTCAATTCTATTGCGATTATTTCATTTTAGTCACAGTTGATGGGCAAGTCAACGTCTTTCCCTATGAGTCATGGTACAGATTCAACATGAAATCAGATTTAGGTCGATGGCCACTGATCAAAACTGAATGGCCACTGATCAAAGCGGACCGTCCTTCGGTAGCTAACGAACTTAGGTTGCCCTCAAGATGGTGTTTGGTCAATCGCTACTCTGTGTCTACATCGACAATTCAACTCTAACTAATCAGAAAGTAGTAATTGTATAAATGGCGATTATAAACATCATTAGACTATGAAACTAAATCTCTTTTTTAAAGGTTGCTCTCATTCTGGTTACGTTTCATTGACCAAGCGAACATTGCTTCGTCATTACCGTAGCAATCCGAGAAGACACCACTTTCATATGCTCCACGATAAACAATTACATAGTAGTAAATTGACTCAAGACCGTCCTACTGTCACTATATTACGCCAGTTGAAACTATATCATAAAACGATTACAACCTAGAAATACATGATGCTCTCAACATATCAACCTTCAAACGCACGTCAGTAATGTGCAAGGTATCATTTTCTATGACTGAAAATGCAAACTAAATGTCTGCACATGAAATCATTGCGATTCCATGCAACAAGTCCGCTACGGAACGTCTCAACGATCGCACGTGTACAGTGATGATCATGAAACAATCAATCACACATACCTGAATTCTCTGAGCATGGAAAATGACGCTCGATCTTGACCGAGATATCTGAAGCATCCGATGAGGTGGCGAGTAGTATCGCAAGCACACCGAATAAGGTTGCGGAACGACAAATGGACTGCGACTGCTGCGACATGAATTTATGCGTTAACTGAAAACGTAAAATATGATTGAAGTCGTCCTCAGCACTTCATCGAGACTTCTAACCGTGACCAAAGCACAAGTCGACGAAATGATGAACGAACGAACACAACAAGCATGCATGGAATGTTTTTCAAAATTACGTCCGTCTATCTTACGACATAATAATTGAATTCATTGTGAATAAATTCAATGAAACAAAACGATGATAATAGATAAGTGTTGACGGTTTTAATGGTCTACAGCTGTACAACATCTCTGTATAACTCCGGTGTAACCAAACGAAACATTTCATTTGTTCATCATGTAAATAAAAG